CTCCAGTTTATTTTTGTATAATTTTTCTATTTTCATAGACGCCGACGACGGCTTTTTGTTACGCCGCGGCGCCTACGGACGGACGCCACACGGCCGTCCTCAGCTCGGCCAACGAATTATGTACCTAGTTGACCAGAAATTGACCATTTTCACATTGTGCCAGTACTTACTTGCCCAATTCTTCTTTCAGATCGTAGTTATCGCTGAACCGGGTACAAACTATCGGCACTGCCATCGCAAAAGCACTAGATACTAGGCAAGAGCTGAGATTTTTTTGCTCGCTGACAACGAAGTCAGCAGGATCGCTCGACCGCGCACTGGCTACAACTATGCCACCCGATATACACCACCTATATCCATTCAATTTTCTCCCAAATTCTGTGAATTTCCAACCGATTTGACTATTTGAAAAATTAAAAACTGACGGAACTCGTCGAGGATGTCCGTGTAGTGTCACTGCGTACAAACGCGCTGTTCTGATCCCCACTAGAATCCGACCAAAATCGCTATAATGTTCGTCCACTGGGATCTAACCTAAAAGATCAATATTGGACTTTGTATACACCGCGTTTCAGGAATTGCCAGCAGGAGCTTCGTTGCCGTGTTGCGATTTATTTCGGATATCGCACGCCTGCTGTTCAAGTCCAAGTCGATCCGTTCGTTTCCTGCAGATTACAATTTGTAGTTTTATAGATAACTTCCCTCTGGGAACCACCGCGATCTGTATGTGGCAAACTACAATCAGTAGAAGTTTGACAATATACCGGAAGACATTGAGGGCAAGTGACCTAAAATATGTTCAAGACGGCCACACTTCCGGTTATACTAACATTAGGTATCAACTTGGTTATTTGAATTGGAACACTCTGTATATTATTAAATTTTGAGTTCTACTTCACATTCTAAATATATTTCATTTGTAGGTACTCGTAATATCTTATAACTAAAACAAGCCGTTTTTGGTCTATTTGAAATTTTGGGTCCAAAATGACAGTTGCAGACTAGAATAACTATAAAATAATTTTTCTATAAGGAAATACCTATGTGTTATTTCATTTGAGTCGCATTCCTTGTTGAAAAAGACGTAGTTTAATGGCATATTTCACAACATTTGGACAGCTGTTAATACAGAGCGTTAATAAATAAGACAAATAATATTGAGAAAACCGCTCCAAATTTTTTTTTTTTAATGTAAGCCCCAATTGTGATTATTTCATTTTATTTAGTATTAAATATACGGGTAAGTTTGTGAAAAGTGTTTAGTTTTCGTAACATTGTCAATTTAATGCTTTCGCAATTTGTTGCGGATTTTAAATGCACTCTCACTTGACATAACGAAAGTGTTCAGGTCAAAAACAATCTCAAGGAATGTTTACAAGTGTTACTTACTATTTGAAAATAACAGCTCGTTCACACGGGGACGTAATGTGGCGACATCTAATGTCGTCCACAACAGTTTGGTCAATGTCACATATCAAAATTCTTTGATATACGACCCGTGAAACTGGCTACTGTCACGGCATTAGAGTAATGTCACCGTGTGATCGAGCTTTATCGAACTAATATCTCTACGCGACACTTAAATTATACAAACGGGGATTATTTAAAATCCGCAACAAAATAGCCATTTGAAAACATTGAATTGACAGCATTTCTAAAAAACAGAGGCAAACTTACCTTTATTTTAAAACTAAACAAGACAGAATTATCAAAATTAGGGGGTTCCAATTGGGAAAAAAATGTTCTTGGGCGGTTTTCTCAATTTCATTTTGAAACTTCTTTTTTCCAATTTGTATTAACAAACTCCTGGACAAAATTAACGCAGCAGAAAGAGATTGTAAAAATTTCGAATTATTACCTTTATTTTTTTAAGTTTTAAGTGACAACCTACGCTATCATAATTAAATGTTTTCTATTAAATTCTGACAAATTATATTGGTTTAATCTGATAAAAAAATAATTAACAAACAGAAAGATACAATGACATTAAATGCAATAAAAACCTATCAACAAACCGCTTTTTTTTTCGGTGAGGTTTGGGAAATGCTCTTTTATGCACTCCCAGAGCTGGTCGTCTGTCGCTCTGGGTTGTGTGGGACTCCAGCTGTTTACCCACTAAAACCCTTTCCTCACCGCCGAGGTGGTGTTTGGCCTTGCACCGCGGTCATTTCTGTCCTATTGTGCCCTCGTAATTTTACTCCCTCATTATCCCTGTATATTCAATGAATTCCAGAAGAATTTTGAGGGGAGTTCGTATGATCTGGTCTGGTGGAATTTTATCCCCTCCCAGGAGTCTTCGTCTACCTGTTGCATATGACGTGCAGTGACACATAACATGCAGAGTAGTTTCGTCCTCTTATTTGCAACCCCTGCATGCGGTTGATCGCTCAGTCCCATCCTGAAGAGGTGTTTTTTGTAGGGGGCGTGGCTTGTTAAAACGGCCACTATCCTCCTTATTTTTTGCCTGCTGAGACCTAGCAGTTCATTTTTACGTACTGGTTGTGGAGGTCCCACCAACTGCTTTGCGGTATGGA